GAAACGTGCCTAAGGTCACTTAACTTAATTTGCCTAATTTACTTTTCACCAGAAACGTGTTTAAGGTGTGTTGCCGCCACAATGTATATACGGTTAAAGTGAACCTCAGGCAAGTTATATTTCCCAGCTGACAACATTTCTGACATTTGCTGTATTATAGTGATCTAGAGAGAAAAGTCACGAGGCATATGAATCAGCATTATTCGCTGAATCAATTCGTAGCGAAGGCGTTTGTGGTTGTTGAAAGAGTAAAAAAGTTGGTAACATATTCGAAGGGGCCATTGTTTTAATGATAAAGCCCTATCATTATTCTAGAGGTTCTATCTGCCACTAACGCCAACTCAGGGGAGCCATAGTCAAATGGATGGCTCACTTTTTGTTCATAAAACATAGCGGGAAAATCCACTTATCAGTTGTCTGTAGTAGATACTGTGATGTCGCTTACCTAGGAAATACACTTAACTGGCAAAATCTACTTATTGACTGAATGTAGAGGGCTGTATTATCCATGGCGACAATTGTCCGCATGATATAGTTGACCACCGGATCCATATTGAGGTTGAGCACTTAAATTTCTCTCTAATGCGGCGTCTCTTTCTAAAGATACAATGTATGTGATAATAGCAGCAAATAAACCAGAGCTTAAGGCTTTTGTGGCTATTTCAGAAACGTAAAGACGACAACGAGTGCGTTTACACTACGTATTCAGTACTGACTCAGTTTTAGGCCGTTTGACAGCTGACGGTAACAACCCTATTGAGACCCTCTATGTCCGCTTTGAAAGGAAACGTTTTCCCGGGTTAAACTCTTTTTCACAATCTAGTGTAGCTAGCTGTTTAAGTTATAATAGGATGTAGGGTTGTTTTCACTCTTGAAAATGACCAATCAGGCCGGCTTCGACATTAACAACTCAGTATTAGACTAGGCGACTTATTGAGGGGAATCTTAAAGTCCTTTCATAAAAATAACGGCACTTTCAATGCACTTTAAGTTCAACGTTTTACTGTAATTTCTATCTCTTCCCCGTTAATTATTATTCTGAAAGTGTCGTTTTTTAGCAAAATTAAAAATTAATTCAAGTACACCACATTAATGACATGTTTTTACCATTTTGCGTTAGTCACGATTTTAAATTCAGCTGCCATCGTACTCATTATCGCTTCGCTAGATTCATTAGAGTAATAACCATCTGAATGTGCATAATTACGCATTATTAAATGCTATCTCAGACCTTCGTGTCATCCGTTTTTCGTTATTACCTTTTAAAGATCTCGAAAAAACCATGCATCACCACAGGGCATAACATATCATAATTTTCGAAATTGTTTGATCATTTTATTAAATATTAAACAGGAGCAGAACTTTCTGCATTCGGCTTCCAGCTGCATTACTGCTCATTTGCAGTGCGCACTTACAACCAGACGTAATGAATGAAACCAAGCATAAATCAATGAGTCCATTTCTGTTAAAATTGAAGGTTTTACTTTACTAATATAACAACAAATTAGGCCTCTTACAAAGTATACTGAACTAACTTAATGTTAGCTCGTCCCTGCTCTCAGTCTCTCCTTCATTGTTGACATTATTTCGATAAGTCCATAGGAATACCAAATGACAGGGAAAAATAACCGTTTTTAAACTCTGTAAGTAATTTTTTTTAAAATCAAGCTTTGCTCAGTAAACGATGTTGAGCTTTGGCAGCGGACAATTTTTTGACGAGCTTAACTTCAGCCTTAAAATATTAATGTAGTGTTCCCATGTAACTTTTTGATATGATGACACATATATAACACATAAATTTCTTAATACACACCTGGGAAAGGCTTTTAGACCTTACGGGCTTTTGAAAGTAGTTTTTTAATACATGCACATAAATCATCCTAAACTCAGAAAACTACAGTCAGTGACAAAGAGACGACCAGATGCCCAGTTACTTTAACGAGGGCGTAAGGTAATACAAATGCATCATTCTGAATCCGGGAAGTGAAATAGAGAATCTCATCAAGGAAGTTGAACGAAATGAACAATAAATGTTTCAACGCAAGAATATGTGATCTCAAGCCATATAGTAATCGGTGTGTGATACATTTCATATGTCTTTTTGCTACATCATGGCCGTCGTTCGAGAGGCAAATTTGCCACACTGAAATCTAATTATCATCTATATATGCTGGCGAGTTGCTGTTGTCTTTAACTGAATTCCGGAATGAGTTGAACTCATGTCCCGCGAAAGAGTTTTTAGCCGTTTTGCAAATCTCTGAAAAGAATGTTCAGAAACGTTTCCGAGGACAATTTGAAAGGAATTATAATTCTTGAGTGGAGTTCAGATTGCAAGGAAGACCAGACCAAAGACAATTAAGCAATTTATTCCCAAATGCCATTTATGGCTTACCATAGCTAAGTGTGACACAAATGATACTAGGTTAATGATAAAAAATAGTTTGTTGTCTATCCGGGTTACTTATTTTATCAGTAGCTTCCTGTGAATCTCCAGCAGCTGCTTTATTTGTCCAGTTCTCTTTCGTCTTTTACTGGTCGAGCTCCTTCATCGTGGCGAGGTCTGGACGAGAGTTCCTCGCGGCTAAGGGAAGATCGGCTTTAAGCCGGGGCTTTGGAACTGCAAAGTCATCTTTTACTAAAAGCCGTAAAGAGTACTCAGAACAGGATATTCGCAGCTGCTCACCAAACCAGTTTCTAACCGCGCCCGGTAGGGCTAAACTTAAGTACAACACCGAGTTGCGCTAGGGTTTGCGAGATGCGAGTCTCCGGTTCCATGGTTCAAAGAAAACGTACACCAATGTGTATATTAAAAAAAGAAATAAAAAATGAAAATAATAATGCTAATGCTTCAGTTTGAAACATGATTTCAAGGACTTGAATTGATCGTTATACACTACATCCAAGTTGACAAAGGGGATCGAGAAAAATTCGGTCGTCATGTGTTCTGTTCGGCGTTACGCATCTTAATTGAACAGAAGACGAGAAAGAAACATACCATGCCAACAACGGTAAGGCAGGTACAGCGTTGTTCATTTGTTTTTATTTGCCGTTTTTGTCATATTGCTTTAAAAACATGTCAATTGAACACTTTCTAATATATCCATTGTGTCCAAAATAGTTTAACCAACCTGTCGTTTGCGGCCACAACTAGGATCAGTATATATCCACGGACATTTAAAAGGATTCTGAGTTGTTTTCTGAGAGAGAACGGTCAATGACAAAGAAAGAATGAGGATGCACATACACATGAGTCAAAACCACTTTTGCAGTCATTTTGATCTTCCTTTTATACTAGCTCAATATAGACTACACCTTGGGTATGGTCAATCAACAGACTGGATTTAGCGGCAACGCAGTTTATTTTTATGGTGTTCGTATTCATACTTCCTGTCTCCGATCTCAACGTGTGGTTTTCCTTAATCTGAGCAAATTTACTTAACATTATCTATAACATGTCAGCCATGTATGCTTTTTTACAGGGCTAGTTTAATGACAGCTTAGCGTTTCATTCCCCCACAAAACAAAGTTCTGTTTTAAAACTCACGACGGACAATTGTCCTGCAGCAAAATATATAAAATACAATTTTCATTAACTTCATGGCTCAATAGTGCCACGTAATGGGAGCAATTTTAGCACCATGATGAAGACATCAACAAAGGAAGTAGGAAGAAATAGTCGGGAACACATTCATGATAGTAAAAACCATTACGCCGTCTTTCACAATTAGGGTAGTGAGGTCAAATTTTCCCATTGCTTGTTCAGGAAGTAACAGGGAGAACTAGTTTTGCTGTTCTTAGTAGCTCAAGTGGCCTAAATCGTTTGACCAAATATACTTCCATGACAAATGTATGTATTTCAAGGGGAATATAGACTTGAAAGACAAGTTTCAGACGTCGGCGTCAGTTAGGAGTTGAACTTTATCATGACATTGAATTAAGTACATGAAAATTTCGGCGTCTGAAATCAATACCTATATTTTAATGTGGAGCTGCTCAGCCATTCTTTACAGCTGGCTCGGCCGGGAATTTCGACTGGTAGCGAGTTTGGAACTGCTTTCATTCAGACGCCAAACTTTTCATGTGCCGAATCTAACACTTGAATTTTTATAACGCATTTTCGCGATTGTGTTTTGCTTTTTTATGCGTGAGCAGATGGTAGCGGATAGCGTTCTCGCTTTGGATTTTTTATTGAAACTGCGCCGAATCGATGGAATGATACCCGGTGGAATTATATAACTTGATTTTAAGCGCTTATTCACAAGCAAATCCAGCCTCTATTTTTGTATTTCACGATCAATGCTGGTCGGGTAGTTATTTCGGCAAAACACTTTTGATTCTTCTATTTGCTTCCTGTGAAGGCCATAACCCATGGCTAGTATTTTATTACCTGAAGATGTGTCAAAGACGTTACTACTTGTTTTTTGTCTTGTTATTCTTCATTAGGGAGCTTAAGACTACGAGTAGGATATTGAATATGAATAGGGGTTACAAACTTTGTTCATGTGCCTTATACAATAACTTGCCACATGAAACTTATCTTAGACGTTATGTGCTAACCAGCGAAAGGAAAAGAGTTACAAAATATTCAGGAGGGATAAAATTATCTCGAAGTAATCTCCGTTTTTTTTTTCTTTGCAAAACTAAGGGTCGCCATTAATATGCCGGTTCAAACTTATGGGAAGAACTGAGAGAGTTATTGAAAAATAAAAAATAAATAAATAAATGGGAAAATTTTTAAAAAATAGTATTATCCTTGTTCGAAGACTTGTTTAAGGTTGTGGAAGGTTTTGGAATACGGGTAATGACATCTAACCAAAACAATTTAGGATTAAAATATTTAATTGTAGACATGCAAACCCGACTTAAAGTTATAGTATCTTACCACAAGCACTGAGCCTGCCCCCTATTGACGCCAAATAGAACGACAGCTTATTCTCAATGTGTGTTATCAGTTTTTATTGAACACAACTTCAAAATGACCTTTATTTTTGACTTAATCACAGTCCATATAATGATGTACTTTACTATTTATGTAATATCTTAAACAACAAAGAGCAATAGTTTAGTCAACAAGTTTTAAAACTTTACTTCCTCTTCAACTAGGCTTCCAATTCTTGTCTGGTTCTTAGTCTTCGCGCGGTTGCTAGTCGTCCTTCAAAAGGCTTGGAAAGAGACTCCCTAAGTGGGCGCTGCTGGTCGTCAAGCTGGCGGGTTTCTGGAAGTTTGAACTGGTCCATAACCTGGAATTGAGGGAAAAGTCATGCACCGATATTCATTTTCCGTTAGTCCTGGCCTCACTAGTGCGAAATTTAACCATATGGCAAAGATTGATCATGGCATTTAGTTTAATAGGCTCCTGGTTTAAAGTAGCCTCCCACGCAGGCGTTTTTAGGTGAGCTCGTTTTTCTTCCCTCCCCACAAACGCCTGCTCAACGGAAGACAACATTCCTTTCCCAAGCTTAGCCAATCACATTGTACTTTCCAAATTCTGGAAAGTTGACCTTGACCGCAAGGTAATCTGATAATTACTCGATCTGCATTAAACACTGGGAAAGCTTTCTGACCTCTAATAAATGTTAGATTCAGAGCGGCAAAAATAAGATTTAGTCAAAATTTAGAAAACTCCATGCACTGCATAACCTTAGCGAAGGAAAGAAAAGAAGGAAAACGGTAACTCTAAGGTCACGTTCAGTCGTGTTTAGCCTGTCAACACTTTATTGCACAACTGTTTATTGGTCACTTACCACGCAAATAAAACAATGGGAAAGGAATGTTGTTTCCGGCTGAGCAGGCGTTTGTGGGGAGGGATGAAAAACGAGCTCCCCTAAAACCTCCAGCGTGGGAGGCTAGGTTTAAAGGGCTTTCAATGAGAAACAAAAGCCAATGAACTGAGTACTAAAAACTATGGGTGGCCTATGTAAATTGAAGAACAAACAACCAACCTGCCTCTTGCGTCCACAATTATAGTTAAAGGCGCATCCCCATGGGGACCTTGAAGAAGATAAAACATGCAGCGGTGAAGTAAGAAGGAAGACGCAAATAAAAGAGAAAACCACCCTTAGTTTTGCAGTCATTTTGATCTCCACTTTCGCAATAGTTGCTCACTGTGGTCCACTGTAGCCGACTTCGATTTCACTGGCCTTAGACGCGAAATGTGAGACTTTGATTTAAGGCAACACGTATGCCTTTTTCCGAGACTGAAAATTTTACAATCGCTAAGCGTTTATATAGCCTTTTCCTCGGAAAAGAAGGGTTTCAAATTGTCGCAATTAATCATTTTTCCTTTAAAACTATCAAGTTAAAGGTTTTCTTTTCAAAATTTAACCGCGACTTTAATGTTAAAGGCCATAGCAGGATAACTGAGCAAAACGCGCCGGAGAGACTCAACAATCAGCTTAAACAGGAGGTGATTATAGAGTAAATGTTCTGTTGAAGTAGCCTAAACTAATCCTGAAACGCGGAAAAATCAAAGTAAAAATGCGCATTAAATTGCTTTACTTTGGAACAAGGCTATTTGCTTTTTATGAACACACCCTCGGCTTCCCCAAACGGCCTACTCATTGAACAGGAGTTATTCACTTAAACGGAGAAGAGTGGCCACTTTATGATAGTAATAAACAGAGAATTAACAGTTTTACTACCCATTTGCTCATAATGGACTCGTTTTTCGCTAAAAATCAGCCACACAAAAGCGGCCTGGGGCTTTATATTTTTACTTAACAACATTAATCTGGAGACTTACTGTCGAAATTTACGGCCATTTTAAGCTGTTGAATATCTTAAGTGGTCTGTTTGTGGCAACAATCAACACAAGATCGTTTAAGATGTGATTTTATTGAGAATTTTAGGCACGGCATTTCACATGTTTAAAACGTTCATTAAATGCAAGCTCCTTTTACAAACACTCAAATACAGACATTTAGCACAATCGTTGCAAAGTAACCGATGCATCGTCTGAAAATCCCTTGTTTAAATACTGATCAAGTAATAATAGTAAGCTCGGCCTGAATTAAATGTAATTTTATCATAGAAGATTGTCTTGGTCAGCAAGGTTACTCAGGTTTACAGTTGTATTTTTTGATTAATCGCTTTTCAGTGTACTACCTGTACTAATGGGCTTGTATAACATCAGTAATATCACTGGCGAAAAAATACACTTTCAAGGAAAAATGATACTCACGACAAAGATCGTTGAATCTGTGCATCAACTGTACTAGGACAGGAAATATTAAGTATATGATCAAAGATACAAGTATTCGATTGTCTCAGCAAGTGAAATATAAACAGCTGCCATTTGTTTATACTTCAGTAGCGTGGTTCGATTTAGGGGTATGGTCCGAGGTGAACGCGCTTCCCCCTCTCTGTAAAATTTTGTACATGTGAAATTTTTGTGCATTATTTTTATGAATTCTCTGTAAATCAATTGTCTTACAGTTGAACTGTCATTAAGCGACCACCCTCGTGGCAAGTGGCAGCTTGATGCAAGCTGGCGATCAACAGAGGTTCGTCATAAATTAGCGTAATCTTTAGCAGAAACATCAATTCATCATAAAACAAACACGAGACACGAGTCCACAATCAGTCGTCTCCTTCTATCTCGGACTGTATTTATTTTTCCTTCATCATACTTTTAAAATAGAGCCAAACTAACTGTATCAAACGCTTGATGGCCGCCTAACACAGAGGCTACAACAATAAAAGCTAGAGAACTCTCGCCAGGGTAGAAGCTGGCCGCTTGATGGACGTTCAATTCTGTATATCAGCTTTGCAAGTGTTCAGCCCCACCCCCGCCCTTCTAAATTTTCTACATCCGCCCGTTTGAGTGGTGCATCGTATAACTTCCTTAATCCACCGCCCAATGGCCGCCTGGGTGGTCATAACTTTATACTTAGTCAAATCTAAGGCGACTCATGGATAGACCCCTGCTGGTTTTTATTTGACATGCATTTTATATTGTACATCTACTTTTTTTCTGGATCATGAACCTCACATAGTATTTATATGTTGTCTGGTTATTATTAAATAGTTAAGAATAACATAACCCTCAGCCTTCTCCTTTGTTAAAATTTTAGTCAATAAGTAAATCATGTTTTTGAAATTCTGCCTTAAATTGGATTCAGTTATCAGTTCATGATTCATTTAGAGGGAAAATAATATATTCCATACAACTACAGGTGAAAAACAAATTGAAACTTAAAAACATACCCTTTTTTTCCAAACGCGAGACAGTTCAATAAAGTTCAATAAAGCCTCGAATATGTAAATCCTGGTATTTTTTATTCATTTATTGTTAACGTGAGACCTAATGTCATTGTAGGTGTATCCTTTTGCGTCCATCTTTGTCTTTGAGTCTAGTTTCTCCTGCTTTCCTGCCATTGCATTTGTAAAAGTGGAACAAGGTAATGTGGTCTTGGTCTTATAGCATCATTTTCCCACTCTGTGTCAGTGCTCGGCCAGGTACGCCAGGGATTCAGAATGTTCTTGTTCAGCTGAAATATGTGTGCAACAAAAGAGCCACAAGGATGATATATTACATGAATTAATTTTAATATTGTGTGGTTCCATAAAATAACAATACACTTTCCCCAAGGAGGAATAAAGTTATAATTGTAATTTTCAAGGGGGGAGTTAGGGAGTCTCAAAATACAAATTTTTTAAGGGAAGTCTGGCTGCAAACTAGAATTTCCAGAACGTATGAGGGGAGGGGGGTGTGGCATTTGAAAAAAGGAACAGGGATTATTAAGCACTTCATGACTGGCCGGTCAGGAAACAGTGAGTTTTGTCATACCTCCCGACTCAAAAATAGAAAAAATCTCTGAAAAAATGATTTGCTTGACGCCATTGCATACGCTGGCTGCGTTCACAAAATTGAGCTGCTGCCAAAAGCAACCTCTCCTATCGCAAAATCATGATAACAGTCTATTTCTTCGCAGCTAACAAAAAATATATAGTACAGTATTAAAGTTGCTTTGGCTTCTTCTAATGTTTGACTCAAGCATAATTTCTGAGTTAGATTTGACAAGGAACAGCATATTTTGTTGTAAATTACACAGTCAAATACTTTCCTACCTGGCGACCGCGATCAAAGAGCGAGTTGATGAATGTGGGCAACCCATTTTTGGCACTAAACCAAAAGCTTGGAGACCCAAAACATTCATATTTTCCCTTTTGTTAATCTGCACATGATATCATTTGGGACTATAAATCCCTTTTCTTGATTAATGAATGCCGTTGTCCTACTTCAATGGCTTTTTAACATCAGGCCCATGGTACACAAATTTCCCGCAGTTTCAAGGTGCACAACCTGATCATGTGCAAGTCCAAAGTTCAAGTTGTTGTTTCCCTAGGGAGTTAGTGAGTTCCATTCGTGCTAGGGAGTTAGTGAGTTTTAACCCACAACACATGACGTGTTCTCCTCCAATCGGAAAATGTACTTGAGTTGGGAGGTAAAACAAATATATTTAATTGAACAAAACATGTTATATAATCATGTTTATTACCTATAACAAGTAAAAAAAAGTTTAAAAATCTATATAAAAAACTAAATACACTGATATGCTAAAATGAAAGATAGATCTTTATTAAGATAATTGCACTTACCCTTTTTTCAAGAAGTTCCCTTTGCCGTGTTGGGTTGGTCTGCCCCATGCTGTGTATTTTTTCCCAGTCAACTGATTTTTCTGGGAACTTAGCACCACAACCCTCTACCTTGCATCGCTTACTGGCTGAAGGGTTAAGTTGGTTGCAACTTTTGCATATCTGTGAAAGATTTAACCAAAACCAATGTACAGTTCTGTCAATCTCAAACAGCAGAATCAGAAAAACAAACAACCAAAGTGAAAAAAAAAAAACCAACATGTTCAATCATCCGAAATCAACATGCAGTGCGATATTGAAACTGCTCATTCATTGTTAGTGACCTCATGCATGCAAATGATCCCGATTATTCATGAGCAATGAGTGTAATTAATGAAAAAGGTTAAATTTTACTGAAACCAAGGATTACAGATTCAATGATAATAATTAAATAATCAACGTTTAACAAAGGCCATGTACATCAATAATCAAAATAGTACCTTCCTTCCTTTCTTCTTGGGTAATACACCAACTTGCCCCTGGCTTAGAGTTTCAGGACTGGAATCTGAAAGGTGGTATAAATTAAATAGCATGGGTTACGCTTTGTGAACTACCGTATTCGTGTAAAAGAGCTTTGACTGTGATTAAAATAGAAATGACTGAATGAGCCAACTAACAATATTGCTCATTGAAAACAAGTAAAGCAATTCAGATAAGCAATATGCATTGATCTTTATCAAATAATTATGAGATGATGATGATGAGGAGGAGGATGGAAAGGGGAAAAGGAGAACTTCAAGGAGTATTTTCAATATTATAACTTAATTGCATCACCTCTGGCAGATAATGTGAGATTAAGTCAGTTCTTATTTCATGCTCGGAAAGCATTGCATATGTGACTGTGACTGTGATCTTAGTGTCTAACTGATACTTTTGATATATGATTAAATGCTTTGATAAATGCCAAGCACCATGATTTTATGTGTGATTGATGCTTGCGATTAAAATGATCCTTCAGCAATTAATGCTTTCAAGAGGGTCATTTTCCCTCCTACACAATCATGCAGTTTAACATGACAATTACAATTGAAAAAGGAATTAAACCAATGGAATTTAACTGAAATACATGGAAGACTGTAGACTATAAGGTAGAAAACACAGACTGAGAATAATGACTGTTTTTTCATTAGATCTGTGATAATGTGTCACTTTGTAACTTATCCATGTTATGTCCTGTAATTTAATCTAAATAAGGGATGAATAAAGCTGTTGTTGTTCCAGTGCCATGTCATCACATTTCCAAAAAAATTGGCCTGTTTCTTCATATATTTTGTTTTAGCTGTACTGTGTTTAGTTCCTTTGTAAATCTAACCTACATATCTTGTAAAACCGAGCTGGGTTAATAATAAATCTTGTCTTAATTTTGTCTTGTCTTGTCTTAACAAATCATCAACTTCATGCTAATTCTATATACAATCCAAAGGAAACATTATTTTGAGCCCTGGCTTATTTCTAAACACTGTACTTATGTTGATCATTTTGAGAGTGTGGTTAATCTACCTTATAAATCTGAAATTTGGTTTTGTAGGCGAGGAAAATTTGTAGGTGTGTTAACTCAAGTGCTCAAGATCAGAACAGTCTTTAGTTCAACTGCAGTTTGCGGAATTTGTTTCATATTTGACTCAATAAGTGCTCTGTTTGTTTATTTTCATAGGGTCCTCTGTAACATTTGCTAGGAAATTTTTTCAGGTAAACCAAATTTGCCCTAACCCTCTTGAACTGTAGCACGAGGTGACAAAGGGTATTACCAAGCCCTGAGAATTTTTTATTTTTTGGGGGGGAGGGGGTTATCCCCAAAATGTTTTATGACTAGTTTCCATGGCCCGGGTTGTTCAAAGGATGGATAACGCTATCCACTGGATAAATCACTATCCAGCAGATAGCGTGGTTTGTTTTGTTAACACTTATCCACTGGATAGCGATTTATCTGCTGGATAGCGTTATCCAGCCTTTGAACAACCGGGCCCTGGTGTACATGAAATGTGAGAATAGTGATTGTTTAAGGGCGCGTTCGTTTGGGATCAATCTGGAATAAGAATACTTGGAATAACGCGAGTAAGCGTTTGTTTGAGAACTATACTCATTCCGGAATACATGGATTTCCATTCCGGCTATTCTGCTCCCAGGAGCAGAATAGCCAGAATCTACATCACAACTGACCACATCGTGAAACAAACGAGAATACTTTATTATTATTGTACTTCACCACGATGAATAACAGCAACCTTTTTTACGACAATAAAAGGGTTCATATTTCACCATTGTTTTGTACTTTAATTTTTTGCCCCGAACACTTTTGGGGTGGGGGGGACCATGTGTTCCAATTGTCAGAATTTTCATAACTGTTCCATGTTTAAGTATTCTGGCGTTCTTTTTTTAAGTATTCCGGCGTTCCATGTTTAAGTATTCTGGCGTTCTTTTTTAAAGTATTCCGGCGTTCCATGTTTAAGTATTCCGGCGTTCCGTGTTTAAGTATTCCAGCGTTCCAGCGTTCCACCGTTCCGGCATTCCATCATTCCGGCATTCCGTATTTAAGTACTAGCCAGGCAGTGTCCCTAACCTTACATGAAAGCTAACCATTCAAAATAAGTGCCTAACCCTCACCACTAAGCTGAGAATTTAACCCCAAACATTAAAAAGTATTGTTCACATGCAATAAATAATATTATTATTTTATTTGATAGCATCAGAGACAACAATCTATCATAATAATATTCAAAATAGTTTATTTTTTCATATTCTCTACAGAAGGATTTAAATTTTAAAATACATCTAAAAAAATATTAAAGTAATTACAGAAGGATATCTAAATATGTTAAAATGGGCAAAAATGTTCAAAACCACTTATAAAAAATTAAAAACTGGTTTGATTTCAAAAAAAGAATGAACTGTTTTCAAACCAAAAAACTGTTCAGCGAATAAAATTAAACCATAATCTCACGCCGGCACTTAAAAAACACTGCCGACAAATGACTGGTCGAAGGAAAACAGTTAATTTTGTTTCATTTTTCAAAGATAAATGAACAATTGAAAAAAAAAGAATCTTTTCAAAATTAAACCATTTCTGGTCCGAGGCGCAGCCAGAATCTCAAAGTTTCCCCGAGGCGCAGCCTAGGGAAACATTGATGAGATTCGAAGGCGTCATAGAAGACGTCATAGATTTTTCATTAGGGAGCTTACGAAACGAGGACGACGACGGCTACGAGGACTTCATTTAAAAATACAAATCCGCGTTATTCATATCACTACGAAACTATTTCATGTAGTTCCGCGTTAAAAATGTGTAGTAACTGTCGAGGAATTAAACTGGTATGAGTGAGCTGGAAGCGTAGAGAGAGAACTGAAAATTCATCGTCATGTGCTAACGTCCTCCACAGAACCTTGAATTTGGTCATTTCACGTCGTCATTTAGGAGATGACGGCAACTGTACCACAATGTAAAACGCACGTGCAGAGCATGCAGAGCAATTGTTTTTGCTTACTAAACCTATCGTTTTGTAGCGTCGTCGTTGCCGTCGGCGTCGTCGTTTTGTAAGCTCCCTAATGGTGCCCGCTCAGCGACGTTTCGCGGGAAACAGTTTTATTGGTAGATGTCATGTGACCTCGAAGAATGAGAGCGAGCGCTGTTTCGATTCTTTCAATTCACCTCCCCCCCCCCTCCTCCCCATCCCCCTAAAATATTCCTACATCCACAACTGCTAAGGGTGGAGCACTTGGCAAAGCTAAGTTCTGGTTTACAACACTCTCGTACGATGGAGGAGGCAATTCCGCTTTGTTTGGCTGATAACTCTGTCCAAGCTGTGGTGATGCGTTACGGTATTGAGTTGGCGAAGGTTGTGCCGAACCTATTGGATGCAAACACTGTCCCTCGGGTTGCTGTGCTGAGTTTCTCGGGTCAGATCCTGTTACAGGATCGGCTGGTACGTCTCAAGCTCGGAAGAGCAAGTTCGCATACAACATAAATATTTTAACAACATTTGGCGAATTAGTCCATTGATATCTTCGTCGTCACCGATCTTCTTCTTCACATGACGATAGAGAATGCAAACGATTGGTAACAATATACCAAAGCTTATGGCTAGTGGACCGATAATTCGACAAACCTTTAGTTGTCGCTGAAACTGAAAATTCTTCTCCTTGCAAATTTCACATCCTCTAAGTAACCAGAAAGACGCCGGAGCCACATTTCCAACCACGGTCAGCGCCAAACCAATCGACAATAACATGATGGTTGCGAAAATTAGGGCATTTTTCCTGACTGAAAATTTCCAATTTGGAACATTAATACCCAGCTGTCGGTTTTGTACGCGTTCTTGGTAAATCACAATTGGTCTTAAAAAAAGGCCGAAAGCAATAAGAATGAGCGGGGGACCAGCGGTTAATAAAACAATCTTTTGACGCTGCTCCTGGAACCAGCTGAGCCAATCTTCCTCTGACCAGTAACTATGGGTAAGATTCAAATCCCTGTATGTATTGGGTTGCATTTCTGGTGGCCCTTCGCTCGTGCCAAGACTTATAAGTCCAACACCGCCACCAGTCAGAGCAAGGAGCAGAAAAAAAGCGAGCCCAAAAGCCATAAAATCGACTTGATATTGTTCCATTATTTGGAAAGCAACAATGCTCGTGCTTCCACTACAATTACGCGTTGCAAACTACCGCGATCAAAACCAAGAAGTTCTTTATAAGTCACGTATACGTGATTTATGCGCAGGCAGCAAGGGGCCATGTACGTCAATGTATTGCGCAATTTGCATAAGACATGACTTGGTCACGAAGCCGGATGTAATTGTAGTCAAGTGCGTGGAAATTGGAAATGGGAGAAGAAATGTGTAGTTTTATCCGCAGAAGTAACAAATAATGATAAAAAACAGCCTCGAAAAAAAATTAAAGTTAAGGCAATAAAACATCAAAGGATGCCTAAGATTAAGTCAAATATCAAGGGCACCCAACGATAATCTTCGGTGAAACATGTGTTTGGGAGAGTTGAACTGTTTTAAGAATTTCGGTTCTACGTTGCCCAAGAGCTATAGAATTCTTTACTAAAACATCACCTAAAAGTTTCGCAACCAGGAAAAAGTAGTCCCTTACGTTTTCTGAAGGGACATTTTTGCAATTTTTGGCACTTAAAAAGGTTACCTAGCAGTTTTCGATAAGCAAACGGTTCGCTGGTATAAGTTTTCAGAAGGCATGTTCTGCTAGCAATATAATTGAAATGAAAACATCATTCCCTAAAAATTTCGGACACTTCAATTTTCAGCAAAGATTTCCGAACAGATGAAATTCTTTTAGAATTAGACAATCTTTATACATAACAAGAAGTTAATTTGATGGGTGCCCTTGAAATGTATTGGCTACGTGTAGGCTGTATGGTCTGTCACGCAGGATATGATGAAATCAAGAGGATTTTGAACTAGAGGGAAAAAGAGTCGTCCTGTAGCTATCCAAAGCTGTGCTCTGATTGGTCATATAGCAGGAACAATGGTTACGTCGTTCGTAAATTGCCTTGATGTTGCGTGATGATCTAAATGACATATTTTGCAGGACGCTCGCATGTTTGGATGAGGTAACGGCCACGTGCATTACCTGACAACCCGATAGTAACCGGTTTACGTTTGAGCGACTTTTTCCTCCTGTTTCAACTCCCTTCTTCCTTCGCGATGGGTACGTTATATTCAATAGCATCGATAGCACCAACTGTGTCCAATGTACGAACGTCTGATCGCTTCCGACTATATCAACTTCATCGGTGGCATCCAAGGACATTTAACTTTACCCAGTGTAACGGCTTTCGATTGCGCTTGTGCCATCCAAAAACTTTGCCAATAGCGTCATACCGAGCGTAGCGACCGTACGAGCGCACCGAGCGTTGCGACCGTATCGAGTGTACCTATCGTAGCGAGCGTACCGAGCGTTGCGACCGTACCGAGTGTACCTCGCGTAGCGATCGTACCGAGCGTACCGCGTGTACCGAGTGTAGCGACCGTACTGAGCGTACCGCGTGTACCGAGTGTAGCGACCGTACCGAGCGTACTGAGTGTATCGAGCGTACCGACCGTACCGAACGTACCGCGTCTACCGAGTGTAGCGCCCGTACCTAGCGTACCGCGTGTACCGAGTGTAGCGACGTACCGCGCGTACCGCGTGTACCGAGTGTAGCGACCGTACCGAGCGTACTCAGTGTATCGAGCGTAGCGTCCGTACCGAACGTACCGCGTGTACCGAGTGTAGCGACCGTACCGAACGTATCGCGTGTACCTATCGTACCGAGTTTGCTTGATGAATTATATAATGCAAGTGTTTTTCGCTCCCCCCAAAAAGCCATCTTCATAAACGGATCTGGTAGTGCCCTTCTTATTTATTTATGTTTCTGTTTTTTTACTGATCTGATATGGTCACCAAGATACGAAAAAAACGCAGCCCACACGGCCACTGAAGTATACTCAAGAGCTCTAAAATTCCTGCATATCAGCAAATCAAGACCACGTCTGTTGAAAACAACAAAGGCATACAGTCCGGCAACCGGTTATCAGTATTGCCTCCTTTAAGAAGAGTTAGATGACATGGTCATTCCAGAATCTACAATTAAATACTCGGAAATCTACGCACCCGGCAACTAAACACCTACTATAGTTTCATTTTGGATCAACATAGATAAGCTAAATATCTGTCAAAATTTCCGGAATTTTCGGCGGTAAATGGAAACGTTTCGTCGGTTCGTCCCCCTGGAAAAAGAATCTGGAAAAAAAAAGGTGGTCCCGTTTTCGGTTGGAATTTCCGAACGGAATGTCGTGTTCCATTGACGTTTCAGATTTACCAAACGGTCGGGCACCGGTCAAAAACGGGGTTATCCAAATGGACGACGGAAGTTCCACTTTTGCTACCACCGAAATTTCCGGGTTTTTTTCGTAAATGGAAAGCGCCCAGGAACTCCCAAGAATCTGAAAAAACCGTTCTAGTTATCAGATTTAAAAGTGGAAAAACGTTATCCAGACACGGGAGCTCAAGACTTCGGCATAAAAATGCTAAGGGATATTAAATGATAACAAAGTATTAAGTGTTATTGATGACATGAATGGGGCTCTGATAAATAATGAAATATTTATTTCAATAAAAGGGTTAGAAACATTGCTAGGCAGATTATATGGTTCTTCCAAACGGATTTTTATGTCTGAGACGTTACTGCAGTTATCGATCACACGCGTTCCTCAGCCAAAAGAAGCGGCAAACCAAGTTACGTTTTGGTGTACACACTTAAATTAAGAAAGCTCGACGTTAAAGTCGTTAGAGGTTAGAAGCATTAGTCTTTCTATTTACTGTTTTTAAACTGCACGTCAAAGTTATAGAGGTTTTAGAGTAACCTGACTCTGACTCAGGGGCGGATCCAGGATCTTTCTTAAGAGGGGGTGCACCACTAAAGAATGGGGGGTGGGGGGCACACCCCATGCACCCTTTCCCGTAGATCCGCCCCGTCGACTTGCTATTACGGACTCCCGCTTTTACGGAATTGCAGACATTTATCAAGTTGTGGCCCCAAACTAACAATTTTACTGTTTTCCTCTCGTTTCAAGAAACATCTTAGAAGTGACCCATGACCTGAACATTTTCTTCTCCTTTTCTCCTCCATTTTTCTTTTGTGATATTATTATTTCGGTGGGTCTGAGGTATCTCTATGAGTTTCCGTCTGCATTTTACAGTTGTACTGTCCGAGTTGAGAGAGTTTGGCTGGTACCATCTAACTTGTACGGTTACGTATTTATCAAAAATGAAAGTAAAATAAACGAAACTAAACCACTACCTTGACGTTTAGCAACTTAAACAGTTAGGGTCGTTTTAACCAAAACCCGCCATTGCGGACTCTCTTTATTACGAAATCACAGCCCCCTGCCCCCGACGGTGTCTGCTAAAATGATTGCAACAGTTAAAACAGCAGAAAAAAACCCACGTGGCATCAAATTCTCTCCAGTTGCAGGTGTAAAGCCCTGGTCAAACGAGAACGAAAGTCGATGAGAGTTGACGAGGGTTAAAACTCTTGAGAGAGTGATCGAGAGTTGGCCAAACGAGAGCGAGAGTTCATGGGAAAACCCTTTCAAACGTAAAGATGGCGACTAGCCAGCCGATATATTCCTCAAGCCAGACCGCTAAAATGAATGTTGTGCACAAGCCTATGCATGTTTATTTCTAATCCTTATGTTTTTTGGCTGTGATAGTCTTTGGAGGATATATCCCAAAGGCAAGGTCTTGCCTCGTTTAAGTCAAGTGGTGCAAAATTTTCTCGTGACTCCATTTTTTTTTTTAAAAGCCTTGGCGTTGTTCTTGGTCCCCTAGTCCGCCGCCATATTATTTTTCCATTTCAATCTGTGCCCGCTGAAAAAAAAAACAGTAATTGCTGACCGTCGGTAATTGCTGACCGCCAAGCTCGCGCTCACACTCTCGTGCGCGGCCAAGCGAGACAAAACTCTTGCCAACTATCATGAAAAATGTGAGCATGCAGGTTCAAATTCGATGAGAGTTCTCGAGAGTTGATGTGAGTAGCCGAGAGTGAGTGAGAGTTCCTGGCCAAATGAGAGCGAGAGTTTCAACTCTCGTCCACTCTCGTCAGTTCTCATCAACTCTCGGTCTCGTTTGGCCAGGGCTTAAAGGTAATTCTGAAATGTATTCATTCTCAAGGTGATCAGCCCCAGTGGTGAGTTTTTCTGGTGAACATCCTTATCGTATGTCTAAGGATAAAATACCTTGACCTTTCAAATGACTATAATTTACATATGTTAAAAGGGTTTTTCACGAGCGCTAAGACTAAGTTTTAACTTTTTTTCCCCAGAAAATTCCATCATTGCTTTTAGTGAAGTAAACACAATCTTACATTTATCACCGTCAGCGTGTTCCATCATGGCCAGACGTAATACCTTTATAGCGCATTGAATAACCCCTTCGAAAGTGAACAGAAACAAAAATTCCAGATTACAAAATCTTCTGTTTCGCACGCAAAACGAAAATACAGCTTAACTCTGGATAATTTCAGCCTTAGTAGCCAGCAACTGGTCCTAAGTTACATTCTTCATCCTTGCACATGTCCTGATGTGCATTTCCAACGGAGTTTGGCCCAATTTTGACCAAATAAACATTTCTCACAGACAGCCATGTTCTGTCCGAATAGTTAATTTGCTAACTTGACAAAATGCTCCTGAGGGGGGATATGATGAAAAGAGCTGAGAAATGGCCTGTAATTGGCTGATGATGACATCATCCGATGACAACAATTGGCCGAGTGAGTCGGAGTGTGGGTCTACTCACCGACAAAACAAGAATTTTAAAAAAAACCAAGAATTTTACAAAAAATTAAACAGCGCTTTTTAAACTCTTTTGCGCTCACAAAAACATTACGTAATATTTAGCAACAACGGTTTGCGAGAAAATATTACCCGGAAACAATTTAAAAGATGATTAGGACTTGTTCCCATATTTCAAACCGCCCTTGGATACCTTGTGATGCGTACACAAAGTAACTATTAATTATAGGCCTAAGTACTGAAAATACTGATAACGGTTAGGGTCAGGCGGTGTGCGCACTACGATCGCTAAGCATCATGGGCGGTATTCAAAA